AATCGGGATGGGTGTGTCAGAGGCAGTGTGATTGGCACAGGATAGAGCAGGGTTTAGGGCTGTTGTACATAGGGTCGCTATGAGTCGCAAATGACTCCACGGCACATAACAACAACAACAACAACATCAATCCCTGAAAATTAAAACTAATTCGTAATGACAAAACATGTTTTGTGTTTTGCAGCATGATTTGTAGTAACAGAAATATGTTTTTGCAACCAGAGTGCTTCTTAGAGGCAAGATCCGTGAAGGTTTGTCTTAAGTATTTGGGGGCTGGTTTTTGGAAAAAGACATCCTGTCTGGAAAGGTGAAAGGTCAGAGAGAAAGAGAGTAAGACTTTTAACGAGATGAATTGACATGTTATTGTAGTAACAATAGGCTTGAGCGTGGAGGAAATCATGAGGATAGCTCAGAATAGGCAAGAATCTGATATTTTTTTTTCTTATTGTAATTATAACAAAAGTTTATAGAAAGTTTGGGGGGTTCTTATTCATTTCTGCACATTTTTCTCCCTCTTCCCTTCCCTCCCCTTTCCCCAGTTCACTTTGCAATGGACCTCTTGTACCAAATTGTTGTCATACAAAATAATGTTCATGTAGTCCTTTCAGACTTTCTTCCCTTCATCTGTTCAAGTGCAGTGTTCATTATCTATCCATTCTTTTCTTATTCTCCCTCCCACTTCCCCATGTCAGTCTTAGTTTATAACAGTGATGCTATACAGTATTTTTCCTTTTGTGACTGAGACATTTCACTCAGCATAATGTCTTCCAGACTCACCCATGTTGTGAATGTTAAAATTCCATTGAGTGATTTTTTTTTTTCTTCATAGAGTTCTTGTGAGTTCTCGTTGACTAGGTGACAGACTCCTAACCCAACCTAACATGATGTTGAGTACAAAGGCAGTTTCTGTTCCTGGTAAATTGTGAGTATCTACCTGTTTTTGTTGTTGTTGTTAGGTGCCATCTATTTGACTACAACTCATAGCAAACCTATGAACAACACATTGAAATCTTGCCCTATCCTGTGCCATCCTCACAAATCTCCACCATGCTCAAGTGCATTGTTGTAGTTACTGTGTCAATGCATCTTGTTGAGGATGTTCCTTTCTTTTGCTGACCTTCTACTTTTCCAAGCATAATGTCTTTTTTCAATGGCTAGTGTCTCCTGATACCATGTCCAATGTATGTGAGATGAAGTTTAACCATTCTTGCTTCCAAAGATCACCCTACTTGCACTTGCTCCAAGGCAGATTTGTGCCTTTCACAGACTATAGTATAGTCAGTAATTTTTGCCAGCACCACAAGTCAAAGGCTTCAGTTCTTTGATCTTCCTTATTCGTTGTCCAACTTTCTCATGCCTATGAAGAAATTGAAACTGTAGGTGTAAGAAGTCTTCTTGAGTTCTGTGAGTCATTCTAGAAAATCATCAAACTCACCTGGGGCAGTGACAGCCAGCAGAAAGACTAAATGTTGCCAATTTTGTGAGGCTAGAAAGACAGTCTTAACTTGTGGATATCCAGATTTAGCTGGCTAGAATCAGACGAGCAAAGTTGTGGCTGGTATCAAGATGATAAAAATGAAAAATGGGGTTATCTTCCTATTTCAGAAAGTAGTTTTATATCAGTTATTATTAAGCTGGTTATGAATACATCTCTCCATCTCCTCATAGTTCTGTCTCTGAAATAAATGCTACTGTGAATGTAGAAATACTGTTTCATTTGGAAGGGAATCACCTAGCTTACTAAAAGCACTTGGTGATTTTTGTTTCTGGTTTGTTTCCTACTTTGTGACCTTGATCGAGCCATAGAAGCAGCTCCTTCTACTTTTCTCTCTTTTTCTAAAGGAAGAGATCAAGCCTATTTTATCCACAGACATACTGATAAATTAAAATTATTTTAAGTGCCTTTAAAGTTACCTGATGATGTTCAGGAGAAAATGAATATTTTTATTTGTTATTGGACATGATACCTGTCTGTGATACATTATATTTTAATGTTCTTGTGAAGGTGACTATTGGAAGGATCTTTTATGTTATACAGGGTTCTGGTGGTATAGTAGATAGTGAGTTGCACTGCCAACTCAAAGGCCACATTCTGTGTGCTGAGAGAGAAAGGTGATTCCATGTGATTTACTGTTTCTGAAAGCCCACTATAGGGTCAGCTATGAGTTAGTTATGACTGGTGACAATGAGTTAGAATTAGTTTATCTTACACATAATAATAAAAAAGGGTTTTGAAACCCCCATAAACCTTTCCACATTTCTCTTTTTAAAAAAATGAATGTCTTTAACCATATATACTTAATTTTATGAAACAATATTTTCCTAAAATTAATTAATATGGACAGTACTGTTATGTGTTGTTGTTGTGTGTCTTTGAGTCAGAACTGACTCTTACCTAACTCTCCCACAGGTTTTCAGAGGCTGTAAATCACATGGGAGGAGATTGCCAGTTTTTCTTTTTAGGAGGTACTAGTAGACTCGAACCATGGGCCTTTGGTATGGCAGTTCAGTGCTTTAACACTGAACCACCAGAGCTTCCTGTTTTGTATAGAATTCCATAAATTGAATAAAATGTGGTAGATCATGATTTCATTTGTTACATTTTTAATTTCATTTAACTTTTGAATATATGATAATTGTCCACATACAATAGATGTAACGCACATCTGTTTTGGTATTATAGGTTGCAATCCAGGAAGGAATTAACTCGGGGACAGTCGTGTCAAGAAGATTGTATCAACCAGCAACAATCTTTATGGGCTACCAAATGTCAGCCATCTCACATATTGAAGATTTCAATATAGAGCAGAGATCTACCCAACCCACAAAGAAGTTCTCAATTCCTGACCCACATACATGCCAACAGACAGCTCAGAGTGCTATTGTGATAGACAGCTGTGTAGTACAAACTAATAGTGACACACAGTGCTTAAATAAGTCTGACAAAATAGATTGGAAGGCACCTCTTCAGATTGGTGAGGAAATGCCTGTCACAGCCAGTGTATTGTCTGAGCAGGAAAAACCTCATTGTTTGGAGACAGGAAGCAACATACGTTATGGCAAGAGTAATTTATCTGAAAGCAAAAAGTCTGCTGAACTTCATTCTTCGTTACTAGAAAGATTACCTCCACAGAACAGAACCACTGATGTAAAATGTGACAGTTGTTACAGATCAGAGGGATCAGAGGAAGAAATACTGACACAGGAACATATTGAAGTCAAGGAAGAAACAGCTGGACCGCCAGTCTCCCAGTTATCTGTGTCAGAATACTGTGAATCTGAAAATAAGTGTACTCAAGAGAACCATTCTGCGTGGGAAGGTTTCTTAGGTGGGAGGAGAGGCTGAGTTTGTTTGCTAGTGTTTGATAATTCAGCTTTAGAGCAGTCTTATTCTTATATAAAGATAAAATACACCCTCTGGGTTATTTCCCCCTCTCTGTTTAAAAACAAAGTAAATAAATCTTGGTAACTTTGCCAAAAAAATTCCAGTCTAGTGAGGTCCTTTTCATTTCTTTATTGGGTAGGGTGGGGCTAAAGTGAAAATACACATAGCAAAACCCAGTCTCTTTCAGCAGATAGTTTTGATTCAGGATTTGAAGAGTAATTTAGGGGAGTAGTTTCGGGGACTACTGCAGCCTCAGTAGTTCCAGTAAGTCAATATTCGTTACTGACTTTATTCTTTTCTGAATTAGAAGTTCTGTACCACATTTCTCTGATTCTATCAGGATAAATTTAGTATATCTTAATCAGAGGGTTCAGTCATGGTAGCCATATACTATCTTATTCTTTTTTGTAAGTAGATGAGGCAAGGTAGTGATTCTAAGAAACAATTAATCCCATAATCGTCTTTCTCCTCTGACTCTGGTATTCCTTCTTTATTGTTTCAGAATGGACATTTAAATGAATTCTTAAATGAAAATATTTTTTAAAGCAAATTACCTGGTTTTTAAATTCACTGTTATATCTTAAAACTATTTTTAAATACTGTAATTGTGGACTATTTGTAACTGAAGAGGGATTCTGCCCTATAGGTACCTTATCTTTCCTCAGTTCTGAAATCACTGATCAGTAATCCATTCATACTGTTCTCACAGATCACCATCCTTATAAAGACCCAAAGTCACAGACATCTTCCAGAAGAATGAAGGAAGATGTGAAAGTGGAGAGTTCAAGCAGCAGCAGTGACCTCACAGTTTCTGTGAGTGAAGATGATCTGATTTTCAAGAGTCCAGAACCACAGCTAAATCTGTGTGACAAGGTGGAGAGAGAAAATGGAATAAAAGCCATAGAACTAATCCATTCCAGGCAAGAAGGAGATGTCCAGTTTACCAAAAAAAAGAATTGTATTTTCGAAATCCTAAATTCTCCTGAGTCAAGAAAGGAATCTTCCTCTACTAACTCACCAACAAGAAAGTAAGCCATTCTGTTTTTCTTTTCTTGCTGTTATATTTTTAATTGTAGACTTTTCATCTATGAAAAGAAAAGTTTCTTAAATCTTAAAAGTAGCTTTTTAAGTAAGGTCTAGTGTTCTTTTTCTTTCCTAAGTGTCTGAATATTGTTGAATCTTCATAATTAGGTAGTTAATTACATTCTACCCTATAGTTGAGCCATTTAAAATATATGACTCCATTTTGAAGTTATAGTAACAGAATATAGCAAGTAGTTTCAAGTTATTACAAATTCAGTTTTAAAGACTAATAGCTTAGTTATATAACTAGTTTCCTTAATTCTTAGATGGCACAGTGTCATTTTTTTTTCAGTTCATTACATATAACTTACTAGATGGCTTAGTGGTAAGGAATTGCACTGCCAAAGCAAAGATACATGGTTTGAATCCACCAGCTGCTCTGCAAGGGAAAGATGAGCAGTGTCCTCCTATGTGATTTAATGTCTGAAAACCTACTGGAAGGTCAGCTCTGAGTTGGTTTTGACTTGACAGCACACAGTAACATAAACAGTTGTATATCTAAACCGCATTCTTATGAATATAAATGTTAACATCTTAGTATATTTTGTTGTTGTTGTTGTTATGTGCCGTTGAGTCGTTTGCGACTCATAGCGACCCTATGTACAACAGCCCTAAACCGTGCTCTATCCTGTGCCAATCTCACTGCCTCCGACAAACCCATCCCAATTACCCCAGTCACTGAATCAATCCACCTCATAGAGGGTCTTCCCCTCCTGCGCTGTCCCTCCACTGTACCCGGCATGATGTCCCTCTCCAAAGACCTGTCTCTCCTTACAACATGTCCAAAGTATGTCAGACGAAGCCCCAGAATCCTTGCCTCCAAGGAGCAGCCTGGTTTAATCCTCTCTACGATGAATCTCTTTGTTTTCTTGGCTGTCCATGGTACATTCAGTACCCTTCTCCAGCACCACAGCTCAAAAGCATCCACTCTCCTTCTATCCTCCCTAGTGATTGTCCAGCTCTCTGATGCATAACAAGTGATTGCAAAAACCATGGCCTGTATCAGGCGGACCTTAGTCTCCAGAGAGACACTGTTGCTCTTGAGTATTTTGGAGAGGTCCTTAACCACAGACTTTCCCATCGCAATACAATTAGTAGTGTAAATTAAGGATGCCTAAAATGTTGCTGCTGTTAAGTGTCTTCTTGTTGGCTCCAAGTCATTGTAGTTCTATGGATGATAACAGAATGAAACCCTGAGTTACAATACCAATTTTTAAAATACTAACAGTCCACTCATGTTGCAAGATTTAAGCCCACTTTCCAGAGTAAGACAGATTAAGAAAAAAGAATCCTCATTAATTACTTCCAAAAATTAGCCAATGAAACTTTATGCATCACAATAGAATGTTGTCTTTTGTTGTTATTAGCTGCCATTTAGTTCACTGTAGCTCATAGTGAGCCTGTGTATAGCAGAAAGAAGCCCTACTCAGGCCTGTGCCATCCTTATGGTCTCTGTTGTGCTTATGCTCATTCATGCAGTCACTGTGTCCATCCATCTTGTTCAAGGTGGCCTTTTCTTTCACTGAATCTCTAGTTTCCGAAGCATTATTTCTTTTTCCAGGGGATTTGGTTCTTCTGATAATATACTCAGAATATGTGAGAGGAAGCTTCACCATCTTTGCTTATAAGGAACATACAGATTGCACTTCTTCCAAGACAACTGTATTTGTTCTTTTGACAGTCCCTAATATATTCAGTATTCTTAGGGAGCTCTGGTGGCCTAGTGGCAAGAAGCTGTGCTGTAATCCCAAAGGCATGTGGTTCGAGGACACCAGCTGCTCCATGGGAAAAGGATGGACACTCTCCTCCCTTGCAGTTCACTGCCTCTGAAAACACGCTGCAGGGTCAGTTATGACCTCCATAGAGTTTCTACTCTATGGTACACAACAACAACAATTCTTCAACAATACCACAATTCAGAAGCATCAGATCTTTGGTCTACCATACTGGTTGTCACACAGTTATGAAGCAATCAAGAATACCATGGCATGGATCAGGTGTACTTAAGTGTCAGCCTTGCTCAATAGCACTTTAAAGAGTTGCATGACAGAAGATTTGTCCAATGTAATACTTTGTTATCTTGCCTTGTACTTCTATTGGTATTTATTGTGGATCCAAGTAAAAAGAAACATTAATAACGTAATTCTTCTCTTCATTTTGTACTTGGTCCAGTTGTGAGAAATGTATTTTCTTGATGTAGCCTATTGTCATGTCCTTTTGTCAAGCCAAAATCCAGAAACTTTGGTTTGGTGGCTAATTGGAGGAAAAAACGCAGAAGGAGTTTCAAGAGGCTTAAACATCACTTTTATTCTGGTTTATGCAGACTGTAAGGAAGAGGCATGCTGTATACCTCCAAGCCCTCCTCCAGCCCCAGGCGAAGTTTTCCACCAAGTTCTTATAGTGTTGAAGACAAAGGCCTTCTGCCATATCTTATCAACTTTATGCACCTGAGCAGTTACACTTAGCTATACATAATACTGATTCAGCAGAACAGTACTGTACTTGCTCAAACTTGGCAGTGTTTAGCCTAAATCTACCTGGAGTATATACAACATGTTGTTGTTATGTGCTGTCAAGTTAATGACAATGCCTAGCGACCCTGTGAACACTGTCAATCCATCTCATCCAGAGTCTTTTCCTTCTGCATTGTCCCTCCACCCTTCCAAGCATGATATCCTTCTCCAAGGATTAGTCCCTGCTGGCAATATACCAAAAGTATGTGAGATGGAGTTTCAAAATCCTTGTCCTCAATACATTGTTGTTGTTGAGTATCACAGAATAGGAACTAACCAATAGTTGACCCTCCAGCATATTCTCAGAGGCAGTAATTGCAAAGATCATGGCCTGGATCAGATGCACCCTAGTCTCTAGACTGACATTGTTGCTTCTCAGTACTCTGGACAGATCCTTGATAGCAATTTATGTAATGCAGTTCATCTTTTGATTTTCTGATTGCTGGTGCCAAAAGTGTTGATTGTGGAGCCAAACAAGCTGTAACTGTTAACAACCTCAATCTCTTCTCCATCATCATGGTGCTGCCAGTTGGCCCAATGGTGAGAATCTTTGTCTTCTTGATGTTGAGCTTCAATCTATATTGAAGACTACAGTCCTTCGCCTTCTGCAGCAAGCACTTCAGGTCTTCCTAAGTTTCAACAAGCAAAGTTGTGGTATTTGCATATCCAGTATGCTTGTCATGTATATGGAGTACATAACAGTATTCTACACTCATACTAAAGTTGTAGTTGTTGAGCTTCAATAAATGCTTCTAATCTTTTTTTGTTTTCTGTCAATGTGATTGTGTAATCTGTATTTCCAAAGTTGTTGATAGGTGGCATCCATTCTGCTGATGAGTAGATGCCACCTTCTTGTAATCCAGCTTCTGAAATTATTAGCTCAGCATACAGGTTAAATAGATATGAAGAAAGGATACAACCCTGAAAAACATATTTCCTGATTTTACACCATGCAGTAATCCCTTGTTCTATTTGAAGAACTATTTCTTGGTCTGTGTACAGGTTCTGCATTAGCACAATTAAGTGTTCTGGAATTTCTATAGTTCCTAATGTTAGCCATAATTCATTATGATCCACACAATTGGATGCCTTTGAATAGTCAATAAAATACAAATAAAAAATCTTCTGGTTTTCCATGCTTTCAGCCAGGATCCATCTGACATCAACATTCTGACTCTCATTCTCTTCTGAATACAACTTGAATTTCTAGTCTCTTCTGAATCCAAATTGAATTTCTGCCTTTTCTGAATCCAGCTAGAATTGCTGGCAGTTCTTTGTCTGTATACTGCTTTAACCATTAAAAAATTCCCTTCAGCAAGATTTTCCTTGTGTCATTTTAATGTGGACTTCTCATAGCATCATTTCTTTGGCTCTTTCCCCCCCTCACCCTGCCTCACTCCACTGGGTTTTAATATATGCAGTTAATGCTGTTTTTTCCTACCTGTTACTAATATGGCAGGGCATTTATGCCACTCTTCAGAGTATCATGACCTATCCATGGTGTACAGGGCAAGATCATGGCTAAGAAAAATGGAACTACATGTGTGTTTGGTTTTGAGTGTTTCATTATGTTGAAGTTATCTGTAAGAAAATTTTGTTTCTCTTTCATGGATATTAAATTTGAAAGGTAAGTTTTTTTTTTAAATTTTGGAATCTTTTACCTAATATAAAACTCAAGCTGGGCTGGAAAAACTCACCACAAAATGGTACACGCTTTACTCAAAATCTTTATTTCCTCTTTTAAGATTGTGCATTGATCACTCTCTATTTCTCTTAAAATGAAACCTTTTTGCAGAATTTTTGATAGGTTTCCATTTCACTTCACCCATCAATTCTTGCATCCCTCAATTCTCCCAGACACATCTTGGACAGATACTAGACATAAATTATAAGTCCAGTTTCCTCACAGCATGAATTTCAAGTAAAATAAGTAATAAAAGAGGAAAATATTTATTCTTCATTTTTATTCATATTGCATATATTATGATCACATTCTACCACTTTTGTACTTTATGTTTGCCATCTTTTGAGCATTTTTCAAACTGCTTTCCCAGATGAATTGATATTGTTCTTTTCTTATTTCTTCTACCCTTCATCTCCCTTCTTTATCAGTTCCTTAGACAAAAGAACTTTGTATTTTTTTAAAGTATAAGGCACCTGTTAAGTGTTAGTTCACATTATTTTGCTCTTCAGCTCTTTTATGTCAGCAGCTCTTCCTTTTGCTTTGGCTTCTTGATGCTCTTAGTGCAGTATTCCAAATCTCTTCTCACATCCATTTTGGTTTTTACTTTCTGCTCAGTCTTTGTAATGACCTGTTCCTCTCTTCATAGGTGATATCCTCATGTCATCCCACAACTCAGCTGGTTCAATCACTGGTGTTCCATGGTTCAAATACATGATTTTTAAAAATAAGATTGAAAGTTCTATATTTT